AGTTGACCAAGGAGCTGCAATGCTGAAAGGCACCATTCAAAATGTGGGTCACTGAGTCTGGGATGGTCAAGTCAACCAAGGAGCTGCATCGTGCAAAAGACAAAACTCGAATGTGAGTCACAGAGTTTGGGATAACCAAGTTCGCCAACGAGCTGCAACCCTCGAAGGCACCATCCCAAATCTCCGTCACTGAGTCCGGGATGGTCAAACTCGCCAAAGCAGTGCAGTCCTTGAAGGTATTGACCTCAATGAGGGTTATTGAGTCTGGGATGGTCAAGTTCATCAAAGAGCTGCAGTGCTCAAAGGCACAATCCCCAATGTGGGTCACAGAGTTAGGGATGGTCAAGTTCACCAATGAGCTACATTTTGCAAAGGCAAACATTCCAAGATCAATCACTGAGTTTGGGATGGTCAAGCTCATCAAGGAGTTGCAACCCTCAAAGGCACCATCCCCAATGTGGGTCACAGAGTTCGGGATGGTCAAGTCAGTCAAAGAGGTACACTGTTGAAACGCATAGTCTTGAATATATGTCACTGAGTTCGGGATGGTCGCGCTCATCAAGGAGTTGCAACCCTCAAAGGCACTATCCCCAATGTGGATGACTGAGTTTGGGATGGACAATTTGGCCAATGTGCGGCAGCCTGCGAAGGCGCTTTGAGGGATCTGAGTTTCGCCCGTGGGGATTTCAACCGCAAGCAGGGGTTGACAAGCTTGATCGTCGTAACCGTCGCAATGATAAAGATTACTGTAGTGGTCTTTGTTAATGACACCGCCCAGACTGGCGATCTCATCTTGGCTGGAGCATATAACCAGATTTGGTTTGAAAACAATACTCACAACAGAATCTTCAGCTATTCCTGCATCCATAATCAGATCTTCATCCGCCAGCAAGTTGCTGTCAATTATCATTTCCACACTTGTAGTCCTGCGGGTAGGCTCGTCCCAAGGCTGTTTCTGTTTGATCTGCTGCTTGAGCTCCCAGCCATCCATCTCTGGGGTCACAAAGAGGTCTATGATTTCACCACTGGGCAGCAGCGCTGAAATACTCGTCGCCATGGCTCGTACGAAAGACTGACCCAGAATCGAACACCTTTTTGGTAGATGAGATTGCCAAGACTGGGGCAGCCCAAAATGACAAACTCCAACCCACCAGAAAACACATGTGTTGATCATTGACGTGTCTTGACAAATACTTCCATTAACTGGTGCTTTTGTAAGAGAGGTTCCGACTTGGGGTTGTTCGCTCAACTGCCCCAGAATCGTTTAGACGATTTCCAGCTCCGGCTCGAAGGATAGTCTTCCACATGCAAACAACATCCTCCTGCCCTCTTGCCAACCGAGTCTTCCTCAGGCGTTGGTTTGAAGATTTAGGAATCTTGCTAAACATAAAGCTTGAAACAAGTCCACCACAAATAGCCAGCACTCACGGCAAATTCCGATTGTCTCATCCGCCTCATCCTTACTTCCCCCTGGCATTAGGGCTTGAAGCTAGCTAGCCACGTTACGTTCTCCAGTTCAGCAAGGACCGGGCCAACGTGTTCAACTCATTTACATTACAATATCTCGAGAAATGCGATGCTGAACACGTTCCTCAAGGTGATCCAAAGGTATAAGTTTAAGCATGATCCCAAAGGATTTCGCCTCCGGGCCAAGCCCGACACGGGAAGAAACAAACAAAACTTTGAGCTCGCTGCGGCCAACAACTAGTGGACCCCCACACATCACCTAGTACCAAAAATCATCTCTGAATCCAAAGCAAAACCTTCTATACTGCCCTCCACAGAGAAGGGAGTGGTCTCCTGTTACATGTTGTTTGTCTATTTGGTAGTCCCTGTTTCTGGCCAGATTCTCCCTCTCACGAGCCCCCCCGCCCAGGGCAGTCTCCAAAGCGCACCTCGCCGCCACCTGACAGCTCAAATAACTGCATCTGGCATGGGTTGACAACAATTGATGACGACAGGACAGAGTAGATGTCCAAGTAGATGGCCATGGGCCATGTATATCACAATATTTGTATATATGTGTCGCAAATGAATGCACCCGGAATCTTTCTTCTAGTCACCCACTTGCAACATGCTTTCTCAACGACACCCACACGTGACCTCATGGAAATAATGTGCTGAAATGGCCAGATGAGACTGGTTCCACCGGCTGCGAGAGTCCAAAGTCGCATAGGGAAACCTAGTAGCAATGGCCTCCAACCTACTGGCAATAGCCTCCAACCTAATATCATACCTTTTATACAGTATAAGGGCTCCTTCTTATTTTACAGGCACGCCATGTCATACCATGCAGCTGGCAGCCATGTCCATACTGCTTGGAAGCGATTCTGGCCATGGCCACAGCCCGTGCGGCCAAGCAACAGCCGTCTGCAAGCGTGCCACCTGGCCGTCGGACGAAGCGACGTCGCGACCTTCCCGTCTCGCTGCGTGCGAGTCGCCCGGTCTTCTCTGTTGCAACAGTTCTCATATTTATAACAAGTGAGACGGACAGTCCAATAGACAGAAAAAGATCCTGCAAAAAAGATTGAAACAAAAACAACCATGCAGAAAGAAAAGCATCACAGATTTATAACAGGAAAGCAGGTTAGAGCAAAACGACTTGCAGTGCCAACCATCTCCCTCGATGAATCCTTCTTTTCCACAACCATCTCCTCTTCCCGTCAGCTAAGACTGCCACAGTTCAGGTCCGGGAAGTCCTGTGGCCTTCGTGGAACGCAAAGGGTCCTTAGGTGGCATGGCGGATCCTCAGACCCGAAGGAGAGCCAGTTGGGTGACATCTCCCAAAAAGTACTGGACCCGGTGGTTTTTGGTTCGGAAGATGATTTTCCTCTACCAACTAGTGGTTTTTCAGGGTCCCTGTTAGTCCTCCAGGGTGTGCATCGTTGGATGATACAAATTCTGTCATCCGAGGGTCCTGAAGACATTGACACTGGACATCGGACTAGAGTTTCGGTGGCTCGAGAATCCTCTCAACATGAATCGGTTCACATGTCTCTTTGGGTGTTTCTTCACGTTCCAGTTATCCAGGGTACTTTGGCTGGTGCATCGGTACGTATCGGTTTAAGTTTGGATGTTATCCCAGGAATCGTGTCGTGGCTGAGCTCGGTTCCTCGAACCCGATCAACAGGTCCATCCGACCGTTTTGGGGGTTCCATGGGTCCGCATCACTGAGTTTCTTCCATCAAAACTGGCAACCAGTCTCTACATGTCCCTGCCATCTCGTACACTACTTCCTGCGAGAAACTTCCAAGTGCTTGGTTGGTGTTCATTTAACAAGTCCCCCATCCGAACGCAACTACCAGGATATAATCGCCACTGAGAATGGGATTGAACTAGTCATAGTTAAGTAATTTCTAACATACTACAATATAGTGCAATATAATATATAGTACAGTAAACTATAAATACTATAAGTTAGAGTAGTACTTTGAGATACTATACTATTCTATTTATATTGACATACAATGCATTTTTTGCTTGTGTAGTGTACTATTTAGTTTATGTACTCCATATTATACACAAACATACAAACACTGTGATGAACTGGCCAATGATCATCTCGTGCCATGGTACGGTGGACCAACAACCTGCTGTTTACTTCGATCCGCCAAGTGACTGCACCTCGTTTAGTTCGTCCATCTCACCCTGCACCTGTCGTTCGGGTCGCCCGGTGAGTCTGGTTGGATGTGCGGGAAGTCCGGCAGAGGCTTTAGATGTATTACGATATCTTGCATATCCCAAACAGTGGGTGGTGCATGTCATATGTTTATGTTGTTTTGCTTCTCTTGATTGTTTTGGGGCTTTCTCATGTTGAAACAAATGCATCACCTATTGTATACATGGTTGTAAAACGAGTTGCCACGATGTTCATCCCTCTTTCAGGGTCCCCCAAATATTCCTCCACCTGGTTCTTCCAAGTGATCTCCGAGTTTGAGGTCACTTGTCACTTGGCCTGTCAAAGGTCACTGGGTGGGACTCCCAAGTTCGCAGAAGCTGGACGTTTGGAAGAAAAGCGTTCCGAAAAAGCAGGGCAGTGACTAAACCATCCGACCCAATTATCTCCTCCGCTTGGCAAAAGCAGAAAGCAGAAAGGGCAGGCAAGTCCTTGAAAGGGGCTCAACATGTCTTGTCAAGTTTTATAAAGGGTGTATATAGAGATTCACATTGTATACAATTTTTATATAGTTTGTGTAATCCACAAAATAGACTACTGCATACCAACCCAACACTGTAATCACTCGAAACACGGAGGAGGTTAAACACCGCGCATACACAGCCTCTTCCCGCATGTACGGTTACTGTAGGGTCATCACTGCACATCTATTCTAGTAGGTGTATGAGAAGACCTCTATACAAGCAGCAACAGTCTGCGTTTTAGTATCAGGCTGCTAAAGAATCCTCCACCAATCAAGGCTAGAATCAAAAGAAGCCACCAAAAGCTAAGTGAAGCCCCTTTTATTGGAAACTCCAGGTACATCCTGTGACTAACTCAAGAATCGGTTCATCGATGACCTTCAAAACCAGGCGTCTTTCACGCAGCACACATTGGGGTCCAAACATGGTTTCTTTCCCTGACCTTCTATGGTCTAAACTGAGCCGGGTGGTAAAAACATTAAAACAATATGCAAAAGTATTGACACTGAGCCAGTGCATCCTCGTTCTGGGGAAGTTCTGCGGCTAGATTGATGTCATGAAAGCAACAAGCCTATGAAAAACCACTATAGTAGTATTCAAAGACCAGCAGGTTTGCAGAACACAAACTGCCTTTGATCTGCAGCTTGCCATAGGATTCAAGTGCGGGTACCAGTGGTACCAGTCTGCACCCACTTGACGCATGGCAAGGCTGGCAATTCACATCCCGGAGGACTTCGACGTTACTACGCCACAAAACACCGTGATTCGTGCGGCATCCCGGGGTGTCAAAAGACCTACACTCCTACTCACATTCCATGGAACTGCACAATGGCCCGTTGGAAGCCTACTTTCCTTGGAAGCAACCCGCGGGGTCCACCGATGCATCTGACGTGTTCGTCGTACAGTGTACCCTTGGATTGCCGGTTGCTGCAAGGTCAGCCGAAGCGTACGTCCACACCGATTTGGTCGTCCCTTATTCGATCTGAGAAAGAATCATTGGTAACCTGATCTCAAAGAAAACATTACTTTCCAGGACCTTCCCAGTGACCTTTTGAGATCCCAGAATGAGGTCACTTACCAAACCTGAAGAGGTCACTGGGAAGGTCCTGGTTAGTAATCACACACATCTGGGACAACTAAGTAACAGGTGAAGTAAACATCTTCCGTCTTTAACATCTTCCGTCCCACCTCACGAGCGCGGTCGAGAGAGACATCTGCGGCCCGAGGTGCTTCCCAGGTGGTCAGACTGTCCGAGGCTTCCACCACGGTGCGACTACACATGCTCGTGCCGCTCTGCCCCTGAGCGATCAAGCGGCACAGATCTGCGTGGATGTCATGTCCCGATGTGCACGTCACAGAGAAGACTTCGTCCGCATGCAGCTGCAAGAATGCTCAGGCTGAAGGGAAGATCAAAAAGCAACGAACGACTAAATTTAAGCAAACAAGAACAGCAAAATTAACATCGATGCTTTGAACAACATGAATCAATATAGGCATCACCAATATGCATGATGTGTCATGTCGCTCTAAGCATTGACAACTCCTCCTAACTCCACCTGTCTCACACAAATTACACAAGCACTCAATCGTTAGAACATATTAGAACTCAGCAATAATCCCATATGGCCATCCATGAGACTGAACACATGCCACCTACCAAGCCGTGGGTCGTGGGACCGCGACGCCCCGTTCCCTGCTCGACCGCGACCGCTCCACTTTCGCCTGCCAAAGCACCACGCAGGCCACGCGGAAGGGCTCCTCGCCCTGGAGACCGATCCAGGTCTCACCGCTGCTGCAGCCCACACAGGCGGTGAGCCACGCGGTGCGCCTGGCGACGGAGGTGGCCACTCAGAACTAGCGAAGCTCCATGGGAGAAGACGAGCTCACAGGGAAAGAAAACGTCCAATTTACCTGCGGGTCTAGAGATACTGTTGATGGACGACATTCTGCACCTGACGTAGAAAGATTTACATTACATGTTTCTAAGGTCGTCTAGGTGATTGTTGATCTTTACCTGTCAAATCTACAGGTTCCCAGCCCTTCCCAGCTGTTACGACGTACTTGCCAGGACGACTGGAGATTCGGTTCTCCATCAAAGGCGTTCTCCTCAGCTGCCAGGGCATGGTGACATGGATTCAATCATGGGCCGGCCCGGAGCTGCAAGTAGTTGAGGGAACTGCAAGTGGTCCGCGTTGTTCGTTTCACCATTGGGTTTGGAGTGTACTTTGGAGGCACCAGTTGAACTGGCACTAGTTCCTTCTGGGGTTTTCTCGGCACTGCTGCGCCTGAGTCCAGTTTCTGCACATGGTTGATGGACAAGCCATCCGGCACAACCTGCATGGAAAAACCTACCCCGAAGTGCTTTGGAGCATTGTAGTATAATATGTATAAATATATAAATATACATAATGAAAACAGAACCACAAGCGCTAATTACAAATCCAATTACCGCTTACTAGGGGGTTCACCATCAGGAGTACTTGTTGATATGTTCTGTGTTTTACAATAAGGGATTCAATGTGTTATTCATAGTAATGATCAAGACTGGGGCTTATTTAAACACGGACAACAAGCATTCACGTTCTATCCTCAGTTCCATCCTCCGTTCAGTCAAACCAGTCATATCACTTCATTGAGGAGATGGTTATCCTCCGGAACCTCCACTATGCAAAACGATGAGGAAATCAGTCCTCCAAGTAATGCATCTGGGGTTGACTATACATGCTGCCATGATCGAACTTTGGTACGTCCAACAACACCTCAAACACCCCCAACTGAAACTCACTCCCGTTCTATCGCTCGGTGGAGTGTCCCCAATCCCCGGGGAGGTGATGAATGGTCCTCACTGGGTATAGAACCACTCAACCAAATGCTTCACCCCAGCGGCGGGCAGAAACTCCGCGAAACTCGGGGAGCTGATGGCCCTGTAGCCTGACTGGTGAATGAAGATGGCACTTGCATTATTCAAACACAAATTCACTTGTTGTGAGATACCCTGAAAGATTCCCAAATCTTCCCTGGTTGTAAATATTGTCATTAATGACTTAATGACTCCAAGCATTAGCCCCTCCAATTTACAAAAATAAAATCAAGTATCCAAACAAGACCGTGGACAATGGGTTTTCCAAGAATAAAACATCCAGAAATAAAAATAGGCTTAGCGATAAGGTTTACAGCAATTGGTTTTTGGATTGTCTTTTTGGATGTTGTTGTTCAATTCCTAAACATTGCATGCTTCTCAAGCGTTTCACTGTTCTTTCCACTTCTTGTCGTAAATCCCAGGTTCCAATAGGACCAAGCAGCCAATGAGTCTGTTGATATTCCCCGAAGTCTTTGAGAGGTCTCCTTATTCCAATGCACTTGTGTGTCTCGTCCCACAGCGACACCGGGCGCGGTCGCGCCGGTAGCGCCTGCGCCCCGCAGCAGGTGCGGGCGGTCGGTGTGCGCCGAGCTCGGTGCCGGGCAGTCGGAGGCCCAGAGCTGAAGCTCCGCGACCTCACGGCAGGCGCCACCAGAGCTGGAGGTATGAAACCCTGCGGAGGGTGAGCTAAATAATATATGATATTATATATATATATTAAATGAGATATCAGTCCATCTTCATCCATCTTCCATCTGAAGGGGTTCTCCTTCACAGAACAACAAAATCCTGTTTCACAACTTGTTTGGAGTAATTGTTGCTCGCCATGTTCTATGAAACATTGTTTTTTTGAAACTACTATTTTGGAGGTGGGTATGTTCAATAGCACTTGTGCATTTATTTGGAACAATACTTAGTTTGGAGGTAGTGGACATTTTTTCTGGGACCCTCAAACAAACCCAACACTAGATTCTGATAATTTTACCCTCGCCGCCACCATGCACCCCCGAGGACCCCACCTCAACTTGAGATATTTACTTGTCAGAAATGGTGTTTGCACATTTGGGAACATATCTTTTGGGGAACGTTAATTATGTACCTGAAATATATGATTAGATTAAGGTGAAGGGCCAAGGGTAACAATTCGACATACTGTTTGGGACGTAATGGACTGACTGGAAGGTGTCTATTTGCACTAGGGTGCACAGTATTCTATCAGAATCTGGGCGTATCATAGCAGGTCGATTCGTATCCTTTCTGTTTCAGCCTCTGAACATCGGAACATTCTTCCAACACCGAGTTCTCGAGGAAAAACCAAACCGGAACCGGCCGAAACCGGCGACCCTCGAGTGCGTCTCTTTTCACCGGCCGAAACAGGCGAACCTCCCATCGGTACACCACACCCTCCATGCAACGCACGCGCCAGGCGTTCCACCTGACCGGGGCAGCACGGCACAGAGCGGCGTCAAACCAGTACGTATACGTGGTGGTCAAATGCAGGTGTCTACATAAATATTTATATACAGCACATTAAGAGAGAGGGTGCGTTAAGGGTCAACTTGAATGTAATAAATTATGTATTCGTTAGATGGAGTATGATGGAGTTATAGGCATGTCTCGGCGAAGATGATGACAGCCCTGGTTGCGGTCTCTCTCTCCGGTCACACGCCGATTCGTCGAGAACGCGCGGAGCATCCGGTCACCTCTGCAACTGGAGCTTTGGCACCTCGGTGGTGGTCGTCAGCTCCTGTGCGTAGGGCGCAGATAGAGAGTGCTTCTGTTGACTGAGTGAAAAGGAATTTTACCTCCCAAACCAGTTTAACATTCAAGATCTTTTCGGCAGCCCAGAGTCACTCAGATTCTCCATGTTGACTGGTCACTGTCACACATGTTGCATAAGTAGAGGGATCGTGAAGAACCTAAATCGTCCAGGCGGTGGTCAAATGAGTGGCTCCGCAAACAGCTTCACCATGACATGTGCCAGACATAGCATTAGATGATATTAGATGGCATCATCTTAGTGTGATCTTGAAGGACATGGTTTAAACAAGCTTATGCAAACCTTTATTTTAGCAAGTCGCTTGACTTTGCCTTTGACTGGCTTCATCAATCATCTTTGATGATGATGATGATGATGATGATGATGATGATGATGATTGCCAAAAGTAAAAGAAAACTCGGTCAAAAACCTCAGTACATCTTCCAACTCATGACTTCTGCTCCTTATTTTGACCCACCGCAGGCGGTTGCCACCCTTCAGTACTACCTTTGCCCCTGCCGCCACTGCGACAAACCGACCGCCCCCTTTCCGTCGTGGTCTCTGCGAGCGCGGGAAAGTCGCTGGTGAGGCCGGTGATGGCCTGAAAGGGGGCGAGCCAGGGGAGAACAGATTGCTTCAAGTGTGGCAACTCCACAGTCCATGAAATCAAGTAAAGCTGCCATGGCAGCTTATAGATTCGAAATTCGATCCAAATTCTGCCGTTTCAACGTGTTGCAAGCATAGTTTTATGACAGTTTTATGATGTTCTATGTGTGTGTTTCTTTTTCAGAAGAACCTATCTAGTGAGATACAGTTTCAGCAGTTTTCCTGGAGGTCTACCGTTGGGATGGCTCAGTTCCTCTGGGCCATCGGTTGACACCACACGAAGACCTCTGGAAGTTCTGGGGGGTCGATGCAGGGACCATTCGGGTCCATGCCAGGTGCCACACGGAACCATCTATGGCTCTTGGTGACACGCGGAATCTGCGTTCCAAGCGTGTCATTCTTCCAAACCAGTCTCATGAACCATCTTGAAGCATCATGCACCACCTAATAACAATCAGTCTCATGGACCTAATGCAAATAGTCCGTCGGTTGATGTCGGACCGGGCATTTGGCATTTGGTGGCATGCACTGGATGTACTCCAGGCTATAATTACTGCATTCAACTCCTGGGGTGGTTGCTAGCTCCACATGCAGACAATGGTCCGTCGCGTTCCTCAAGAGACGACGACTCCGGTCGCTGGTGGGTAGCTCGTTGCTCGTGCGACGACTCCAAAGCGGTTTCAGTTGTAAACCCAGTCCGCCAATTTGAAACCAAGCTCACCAGTTAGAAATTGGCGGAGTAGAAGGAAAGGACTAGAAAGCACATGAGCCCCTCGAGAAGGATCAAACACACTGGAATACACGTCATACTGTCTTACTTTATATACATGATTTCTACATGATCTCACCGCATGCAAACCTCTCTATAGACTAGTGCGAAATGGTGGTTTCCCGACATTCCCGACCTTTCCCCAGTTCTGCCTGTTACCCACCACCGATGCCTGGATCTGCAAGCGCGCCAACTGAAGATTGGAGGCTTCAGGGAAAACGGAGTCGAGCTCCTGCAGCGATGCCACCACGGTGGCAATGGAGGGGCCACGATCTGACGACCGCTGACAGTCATCTGACGACCGCTGACACGATGCTGGCGAGCGTCCTGGTTGAGCGCGTTTCACCAGTTTCGCGTCTGGTTTCACGCGGTGAAACACCATGTTTCACCTGGTCCAACACCCAGAGGGTTTGAGCGGTTTGGATCTGGCTGCCAACCGTCGTGAAGTTTCACCAATTATTGAGAGTAGACCTGGCAAGGTGGTGCCTTATCAACGCATCAACGGGTTCCACAAATGGTCTAGTATGGTCCAGTATAGTAACGCTATCTGCCTTGCTGGAACTCCTCGCATCTATACTACTCCAAAGCCCCAAAAGCAGTTCAGGGTCAGGGACTTGCTGCAGCTGTGAGCTCTGACAACAGTATATATATATATACTCCTTGTTGAACAAAGGATGATGAACAACTACAGCACTTGTTAACTGCTTAGTGACAAAAGGGATGAAGCCCTTCGCAATGATCCACTAAGAGGTGCAGAAGGGCTTCATGGTGCACAGGGTCCAAAGAATAAATCGCTCCTTTGGTCCTCCAGTGGGGCAGCTTACTCACAGCGCACCCGGCTCGGCCGCTCGGTGGCCCGAACCGACGAACCGACCGACGGAGCGAACGGACCGACACCTGGGCCAGGCGTTCTTCCAAAGCATCCAAGCCATCTCGCGCCTCGGAAAGCACCGCGGTTGGGAACATGGGTGGAGTTCTGTAGTCATGGGCGGTTGGTCAATAAAGTAAGACTTTGGGGAGTCCGAAGATTCTGCTCAACGTGCCTAATGCTGCCTGGCAAGCTGAATGGTGTTCATGTTGACTCATCTTGTATTCATGAATCTTGGGTCGAAGACCGATGGAAAGATTGCAGTTCGGCAGTTTCATGTAGTTCCGATGATTTGGTTTGAAACGCCTGGTCTTTCAACAAGGTGTGATCTACAATTCCTTGATTTACCTGTGTTTACGACAGCAATTTCATAGAACATCTCAACCCCAATCAACTTTCTGAATTTTGGTTTGCGGGGAAGCTGAAAGAACATTTTGTGTGAACTGAATCTTTGCTGCTGCAGTGCCACAGTGTCCATTCTCCATTCCCTTGGTATCCTTGACCACCTTGGTATCATTGGTAGAACAAGCTCCCACGGCAAGGTTAAGGGCCCTTGTTTCGAGAGCTTCATGTGGATCTCTTGGTTGCTTCCATGGTGTCGGCCACACCTTTCCCTGTGTGGTTCAAAAGAAACACTGTGTAATTAAATATGTATACGTGAAGTACTTGTTTTGATGCAGCTTCAAATGTTGTGTTCCCTAGAACGACAGCCAGCTGATAACAGAAATCAAGTTGTGATCCGTCTTCTCAGGCGTCCCACCGTTTTCCCTAGCACCACCAGGTCATGGCGCATCAACTGGCGCATCACCCAGGTCATGTGAAGCTGCTTGTGACTCGTCTGTGACCTTCACCATCCACCATCCATACGGCCAGGCCATGCTCGCGTTTGCGTGCGTGCTCAGTGCATGAATGACTCTTTGAGTCAACAAGAATGACTCTGAGTCCGAGTCCCTCGCTGACTGAACGTTCTCGCCCTGAGTCTTTGTGGACAATAAACATCCACATCTTCCACCTGTTGGACTTTGAGTGGGAAAACCAGAAAGACAAATGATCCTCTGACAAGCTCGAGCGAATCAGCCGAGTCTCCTCCGTCTGGAAACTCCCAACGAGGGTCGAATCAACGAGCGTCTGCATCCTCAAGGTGAAAGCATCATGAGAGGGGAGAGTCTTTGGTCATGTCACCAGGGGCAGCAAAGGTATCATGCTCCACACCCATGGACGTATGACTGCCAGCAGCACGTGTTGTTGCGGTTTTGTTAGATCTCTTTGCATGTGACAGGGACAACAGTGCCCCGGACTTTTATATTGATATGACGATACTAGTATGAATTAGTATGATATCCGTATGTCATATGATGTTGTCCCAGGTAGAAGAGCTGCTAGGACAGTAGGCCAAACATCCAACATGCTCATCCAACATGCTCATAACACTTGAACTGGCATTGTGCCCCACATAAAGGGATGCTCGAAAGTTCTAAGTATATATATTATACTCCATTGGCATGCCTCTCTGCCCCACTCGATCCTGAACATGCACATCCTCCCATTGGTCCTTTGAATGTCGCTGACATTGCGGATATGGATGTTCAGCGAGATGAAGGACGTATGCCTGAAAGAGGTGCACAGGGCCAGGCTTTCCACATGGCTCTCTGGAGCCTCCCGGGCTATCCAAATGCTTCTCTGTCTCCCGGGAGTCACAGCCTCCCAGGCTTTGCATATGGCCTTCTAGAATTGGCTGGGTTTGCTGTACAAAAGCTGCAATCGACTGTTGGTCACCGATGTCCAAACTACCAAGGTAGGGGAATGTCAGGAGAAAGATCAAGCTGACGGGCCCTTGGCTTGAGCTTCCGGTGAGGAATTTGGATAGCTTCCAAAACCTCAAAACACACGAACCAACGGGATGGCTGTTGGCAATCCAGAAACAAACATTCCTCGTAACGTCGTAAACTTCAGTTTGCAATCACTATAGTGTGCATGTTGATGAAACTCCACCCCGCATCGAGTCAAAACTGGAATCCAGCAGTGTTTTCCTGCTTGTCCCTTCCCTCCATAATTCAATATATATATATATTGTCGCAAACTACAGGGGAAACTACATATATCACTATATAATATCATAATGTATCTTTCACACATCCTGGCCAACCAATGCCGCTTCTGTTGACATCATTTCAACTGAAACCTGCCCTTCCGGTGTGCTTTTGTGTTGCATCTTTTGAAGACCAAAAGTCACATGCCCTCCCGGTGTTTTCTTTATGCGACAAACAGCAAGTGGCTGCGTCCAAGTGGGAGCTGCCACAGAGCCCGGCAAGGTCAACGCACCCTCCGCGGGTTGGTGTCAAGGACGGACGAAGGTAGGGATCGGACGAAGAGTGGGAAGTACTACTGAATGGGGCGGTTGCTTAGGAGATGCGAACAGGAATTTATGCAAGACTGTTTCAGTCAGCTAGTAAAAACCTCATCCAGCCAGGTGACAAAACAATGCATGATTGATCATTCAAAAGGATGAATCCTTTGAGTACGTAGAAGAATCTTCTGTGCCTGCCAGCAGCACCGCTTGGAATCACAGCCAAAGGTAGGTCCACTTGAATCAATCTGCCCGCCACTGCCCACTGAAAAGCTGTCAACAAAGGTGTGACTAAGCGGTCACGGTTGTATTCGGAAACTGGACGGTTGTATTCGGAAACTCGGCGGTTGTATTCGGAAACTCCACGGTTGTATTCGGAAACTCGACGGTTGTATTCGGAAACTGGAACGGTTGTATTCGGAAACTGGGATTCGGAAACTGCGCGGTTGTATTCGGAAACTGGTATTCGGAAACTGAAGCGGTTGTATTCGGAAACTGGAAGGGTGGTATTCGGAAACTGCACGGTTGTATTCGGAAACTA